TTAATTAACACTCAAAAACAGCAAATATCGGGCAGCGCGCGCTTATCGTGAATATAATCCACGCTATATTGCAAGCTAAAGTTTTATTACCTCGAAGCGAATTGAAGATATATTCAGCACACATAGCAGCATACAAATCAATTTTCTGGCCTTAGCGTTTATGCAGAACATTAAAGTAAAAAAAAGATCATTCGCATATGTGAATTYAAAGTATATTTTTGTTTTGCGACATAGACTCAGTGACCGACTGAATTCTTATGGTGATTATCGTTAAGGCGCGTTTACACTTTTTTTGCGGAGCGATAATCAACACTTTGCTAATATCGCGCAACTCAAATCGTACGTGTAAACAGCCGAATGTAAGTGTAAACGGGACTTTATACTTCCAGGTATCCACCAATTATTCAGTCAACCACGAACCAGCTTTCAGTTCTATTCCAATCAAATGCAGAGATCACTCGATTAGGGTTCATGGCGCACTACCGAGTCCTAAAAGGTAATATCATGGTATGGTATGACCTCTTACTTTACGAGTTATGACGTGTAACGTACAACTTATGACGTATAATTTATTTTTATGACTTATGATGTAAGAGGTATAGCATATGAGGTATAATTATGACGTATGATTTATGACGTATGACCAAAGACGTGTGACGTGTGACGTGTTATAACTTATGRCTTATGATCGAGCGACTTTAGATTYATCTGTTSGATTTCGTACCTAGTTTATCATGTTTATTTTTATCATTTTGTCAGATAATGACACAAGTAAAGACTGCATTCAAGGTAAAGCTTGATAAATGGTATTTTGCTATTAAATTGCTGTATGCTCATTTAGMTGTTATTTCAGTTACGAATTTTAGCATATTCTTTTAGACTGTCCAGCTGAATGCGAATGCCGAAGGTTGTCAGACGGCAGAATAGTTGTCTCATCGAGAGGTCTTAATTCTGTCCCTGGTCGACTCCCTCTGCAAACAGCTATAATGTAAGAACTAAAATGATTTAATACAATCAATGAATATTTAAATATTATTTAAGTTGAATGTCATAAAATGAACACTATTTAGGTATAAATTCATRCACTGTGAATATTATGAGGATTATAATTCTCACCAAAGGTTTGGTGGTTTGTTAAAATTACAATCTTCATTTTTATTGATGCGTTTTTTTATCAAATTCATTTATCCAACTCACTCAAATCATTGATAACTTTATAATTGCAGCTTTTTTTCTGGTAACACGATTTTTCGACTGCAAGGGAAGACATTCCACAATCTTCCGCAGCTGGCTTTGATGTATGTCTTAATTTRTAATTCTAAAAAATGCATTTTTTAATTATCGTTAGAGGAGAAGTTACATTGTATGACAATACTTTGTTACTAGTAATTCGGCACATAACGGTGTAAATAGAGAGATTTTTATCACACTTGTGTGAGCTCTCGCGGGGTGACTTTGTGGCTGATTAGAGTTTGTCAATAAGAGGACATGCACACTGCGCTTGATCAGTTGTAAGAAGAGAATGAATTTCCCAACATTTTAGACTGAAACGTGRTAAAAAAGAAACAATTAAATGAAAACAAAATCATAAACAAAAGACAAAAAAAATTATATATGTATATGTATGATTTCAACTAAAAACTCTGCACCATTGCATAAATAGAAGAGGCCTATCCATGACATTGTTGATTCGTTTTTACCTTCTTTGTTTTTTCTTCTTCTAATTTTAGAGACCTAAGTTTTAACAGGATAATCGACATGGAAGGAAATGCTTTCGGGACACTAGCGTCGCTTCATACTCTGTAAGTATTGACARCGAGACTGAAAATATTTGATTCTTWTAAATTTCTTGAGTTCTTACTGACTGTTGGAAAAYATGTATAGGAAGCTGAACATGAATTTCATCAGGGAAATCAAAAATGAAACATGGATTGCAGTCGAGTCATTGCAAAACTTGTAAGTTTTCCCAAACCTAATTACATAGTTTTTCATAACTACTATAAAACTGAACTCATATAATGAATCTGTTGAATTTTAGGGATCTTGGTCGCAATTTGATTTCTGGTATTGGAAACAGGATATTTTCAGATCTCCGAAATTTAAAAGTATTGTAAGTTTTTTGCTATTACTATTAAAGAATCTCAACAAACCACAATACAGGTCAGCGTGCGCTTTTGTTATTGTTTACTTACGTTTAAATGCGTAAAGAATACAATAGATTTATAGTACCTGTGAGGTACTTAGTTAAAGGCATTTCTGTTTAAACTGAAATGATGGAAGACGATTCGCGCTCACAAGTTTAAGAAATTTCTACTAATCCGCATTTTCGTTTCCATCTAAAATGGCGCTTCGGCTCGCAAGTTACAGTGGTTGGTTCTGATTCTTTGATTATATTTTCCAAATCTATACTTGCTTTCCTTGCCAGCTTCTTTTTAATTATTAAAACGGATTTTTTTTTATTTTCAGAAGTCTAAGTGAAAACTTAATCAAAYTTCTTCACGTCGATGCTTTTCTGAACAATAGGCATTTGACATCTTTGTAAGTCATACAAGTTTACGAAATCAGATATATTGATACCATTCCCGTGACACGTCAACTCGCCGTATGCTAGTATTTTGACCTGTTTATTTGAAATATCAGCCATGGAGAGGTGCAATCCTTCTTTTAAGTGTTAACTAATGTCATTACGTAATCTGTCCACTTTGCCGTTGGATAACTTGCACCGGGGGTACCCTCGTGCATATTGTTGTTTTGTTCGTCAGTCGGCGACGAAGACCATCCAATGTATCAATGAAATATCCATATTTGCTTAAATTAGTATCCGGGTGTTGTTAATATRTATATACACAGATGGCTAGTACATGCAGTGGGGGCATTGGATTGTTTTACGGACTTTGCTTTCTTGGCTGCTTTGCGCTCCTGTTTCTGTCCTTTTAGCTTCGYATGCAGAAGCGCCGTTTTTAATAGCAGAATGCCATTTCGCACTATTCTGAGCCGTGGTTTTGTGAGGTGTAGCTGATGTGTTTTTACTATATCGTGCAAGGAAGTTCCATACATGAGACTATTTTGCTCTTATTTGAGGACTATTMTTCAGTAGGAGTCAAAAAGATGTTAGTAGTTAATAGTATCGATGCTGTCATTTCATAGATATCTGCATGGTAACGCCATACGGAGACTTCCTTTTTACCTTTTTCGAAACCAAATAAATCTTCGAGTGCTGTAAGTATAAGTTCAGTACAATAGGTATATTTGTACATAGCCCATACACATGAAGACCTAAGTCTATCGATATGCTGATAGAAATGGACATAAAAGATATTTGCTTTTTTTCTCGTTACCGTTAAATAAGCAGGTGCTATCTAGAATAGGTAGTAACAGTTTGCTTTAAGATTTCTTATTTTTCCTTAGGTACCTGCATAACAACAAGCTAGAAACGTTCACCAGACTGACTTTCAAAGGACTCTCGATGCTTGAAAAATTGTAAGTATCATGAATATTCAAAAGTATATTCATTATATYATATTCTTATTCATTATATAACTGCATTTAAAAGTATCATGTTTTCAGATATCGCTCTTTAGCATTCTCTAATAATATATAGATCTTTCAAACCAAATAATACCTTCACTGAATGTTGGAGTGGGTTTCGAAGGACATTCTCATACTCATTAATTATTCATGAGGTATCCAGCCAATCCCTGATTGTAATTTGTGCCACGTGAAGTAACTTGAAACCAGTGGAAGTACTCGTACCTTGTATTCTACCTTATTTCCAATTACTTCTTCCTTTTTCAAGTTACTTCTACATTATATATAGGTTAAAAACCAAGTGCGAGGTCTCCCATTGAAATTCAAGACCGAGGGCCGAAGGCCCGAGGTCTTGAATTTCAATGGAAGACCGAGCACGTGGTTTTTAAGTTGTTTACTGATCTATCACACCCATTTTCTATTATTTTCAAGAGGTTTTGGACTTCTTTCAACTGGTATATCTATGAAATAATCTTAAAATGAGCGTAGTGAATGAATTGTTTTTT